GGGGTATCATCTTTCCGGTCCCTTGGTGTTACTCTGTCCTCAAATCCCTCATTCGCCCATCATAATGAAATCCTTTTTATGAAAATTTGTACACTCGTTTATTATGTTTGTCGGTTACGTTCCTATCACACACGTCAACCCCTAACATACAGATTTAAAGACGTCAATGCCGCCTCTCCTCCCTTATCGTCTTCCGGTCAATTTTATTGATTTACTTAAAAAATACATGCTCATTTTAAAACGTGTCTTCCGAATGCTCTCTCCTATTGTCGGTGTTGCTTGTCCCATTTTGGTTGGTCATAATAGAGGGACATTTCACAACGGTTGACCAATCTGCTGATCGGATTCTGGCCCGGTGCCTAACGTTTTAGGAGACCGAAATTCAGAAAACGAGGATCTCCTTGTTCCCATAATAGTCATAATTTTTTGTAAACCCGTTAACTCTTCCATCATCCATTTATTTTATATTCTGGCTACGGAGGATGGAATCAATACCTTTAAGACAAGACGTACTCCTCTCTCTCTCTCTCTCTCTCTCTCTCTCTCTCTCTCTCTCTCAAATACTCACATAGTAAAGAGAATCAGTAAATAAGGGAGCTGGATTTGTTCGCCTTAAAGCTATAGGGAATAAAGACTGAAAACGCTAGTCGCACCAATTATCAGAAGTCGTCTATCATGTGGTGGACTCTGACCAGAACTATAGCTTCGTTGGAAAGATTACGGTTTTCCGGAGCACTATCGAAGAGTGAAATAATCCTTCTATACTACTGACATCCCGAGTTCCTTCCACTCACTGCGTAGTAACTTATTATTCGTATGAGAGAAGGTGCCTTTTCAAAGCATAAACTCTACTTTTCTCAATGCTCGGGACTTGTGACTGTGTCCGAGGTTATACTTCCCGCCTCCTGTTGCAACCTCCTCAGGCTCGAGTTTATTACAAAACGACTCTTCAGCGGCCGAAATAGTTAGCTGGAAATCTGGATCCCTTCATTGACCGAAAACTGCCGATTTCTTGTCTAAAAATAGGGTTGGGCATGGCTAGGGGAGTTAGAGTTAGGGTTTGGGGGCTGGGGTTAGAGTTAGAATACGCGAATAGGTATTTTCCAGGAATTTAGCGCACAGCCACCTGTAGTACTGCGGGAGGTCCGCATTCCCGTTTTCCACCAAAAACGCGGTTGCAATCACTCATATGCTAGTACGTAGGTTAAGTAAGTGACTTACCACTCGCTAGTGTTTTCTTATAAACATACGAGACTTCTGTTACCCGAGTCCTCTGTCCCTCTAGTGACCCCAATCCCCACGTCTGCTGTAGAATAGGGTGACGGTCTGACGCCTAACTGGATATACAGCGGAAAACTAGTAAACCTGCCCCCCCTCCCCTAAACTGTGCTGCAGAGGGCACTACAGAAAGTAATATACAACCGAGATATATTCGTACACATAACGCAGTCAGGCACAAAGTTCAGTTCGTAAAAAAATAAACTACCAACCCGACTGACACATTCTATGTGGGGCACAACCACCTGTAGTACTCTGGGCGGTCCATACTCCCGTAGTCGACAGAAAACGCGGTTGCAAGCCCTCATATGCTAGTACGTAGGTTAAGTAGAAGATTTATTACTCGCTAGTTTTTTTTTCATAAACATACGAGACTTCAGTTAACTGAGTTTTCTGTCCCTGTAGTGACCCCACTCGCCACGTTTGCTTTAGCATAGGGTGTCGGTCTGACGCCTAACTGGATATATGTACGCACCAACGGCCTTTGCTCGTCTGACACACAGATGTGCCATATGATGCTGTCGCCACGCATGGCCGCCAATACCACGAGGCTCGGTATGGTGTCCGGTCACTCACAGTCACCCAAACCGTCCAATCAGCTTTAGGGCTGACGCGGACATGTTCACACCCAGCTCACTCGGACGTCTGTCTAAGCGGTGGCTTGATGCCTATCCCACCTTCAGCTGTCAAAGTACTCCGCAAAATGTATTTACCACCCATTTTGTACAGAATAAAATTCGTCTTACTCGATGCCTGACCTGTCGGTTGGGGTCTGTCCGTGACTTTAGCTGTTGCGACATCCCCCCACGTCCCTCCCTCAAGATTGGCGGGGAATTTGACTTTAAAGCCCCTCTTTCAACAACCAGTTGTGCACACTTCCCTATTCGCTTTGCCCGGAGCAGATTAGATTACTTTAGTGCGGGAAAACCCGGTCCTGGTAGTATATAAGTTTTCTATGATTACGTTCAACCTAATCAGGAGTGAACGTAGTTGGCTGATTGGTCATCAGCACTAGATATAAATACTCTGCGGACGCTTTCAAGGAGGAGTTTAGCTTTTACAAGAGAAAGAACTTGCATAAAAATTAATTTTGAGGATAAGGAGGATGGGAAGTAAATACGAAAGTGTCTGTTCAAACAGAAAGGTGACTCTGTAGACGAACTCATGCATCTTCACCTGAATTCCGTGACTACTGACTGCTGCCCCGCATTTAACCTTGGTCACCTCTTTCCTATTACACAGGCCGCCTTTTTAAACGGATTCAATAATCATTTATTCCTCTTTCACATCAGTAGGGTATTTACTGATCTATCCGGATTGCGCCACGGCGCGCGGATGCTGTTTTGGAGTCCGACAGATTTACCACGACAAATTCCATTCCAGTCTGCCTAAATACCGTCGGTTACTTCTTTTGAGTATTCAGCGCACGTAGAACAATAGTTAAAAATAGTTACAGGAACATAACTGGATTGGCTAGGGCCGTCTGCATTGCTGGTAAGCCCATCAAATAAACTGACGCGTTATGGGCTTCGGTTACTACTTTTAGTCCACTGGCATTAAAGTACTGGTAAATAGCTATCGGGAGTTTTGACCTCTTGGGGACAACCCAATTAGCCATCGACATGACCTCCCCTCCCCATACGAGGGGCTACGCAACCAGTTTTGGAGAAGGCAGGCCCAGTGGTTGATTTGTACGCAGCATTCGTGGCGCTATGGGGGTTCTACAGCCTTTCACACCCCTTAGCAAGACTCAAGCGCGAGTTTGAGGCGCTAACAACGCATAATTGCCCAGCTGGAGAACGAAACTCCCCCTAAATTGCTTCCGGAAGAAGGGATTTTCACTCTCAGTCCATGAGAGTAAAAAACTGCACAACGGAGACTAGGGAGCCGAGACTACTACTGCGATATTCATTTCCTCGGTTACTCGCAGCATAACTGTAGTTTACTTCTAGGGGAAAACGCAGTTCAATGCAACAGTTCCTCATTGGTGGGCTCACACTGTCGGCTGCAGTCGGAAATATTCCGACAAAAATATTAGTTCATCAAGTTATGCTAACTCAACATGCAGTCCAGCACATCGCAGCGTAACTGTTAATGCAAACGCGCACCTTTTACTCCTACAACACGCTACATGGACGTGTGGTGGCCTAACACGCGGGGTAACAGACCGTTTTTCAGATTCAAGACCCCTTTCACGTCTGATTTTCCATCACCTCTTCCAGCATGATTAAAACGGCGCCTCAAGACGACCGCACCCATCGTAGTCGACAAACACGACGTAAGTACCGAGCAGCAGCACCAACCACCCAGTCACAAACGCAGTTGCCTAAGAGCGCTATAGTAGCTTGTGGGGACACTGCAGTGAACCGGAACACAAGGTTGCAGAATTACAATACTTTCGACGTGTGCTCAGAACGAATGGCTACTTGCGCAACTTCGTCAACCAGTGCCTGGGCAACGGAGGCGAAAAACAAAATCCAACAGTCTCCAAATTTTGGCGAGTCCTCCCATACGTGAAGAATGTCTCGGAAGTTGTCATACGTCCTGCGCCCCTTGGAATTGCAGTTGCACACAGACTGGAGGCAACCATAAGGCGCCAGATAATGAAACCGAAAGACCCACGGCTACGGCAGGGAACAGCTGGAGTCGTTTACCGGGTCTGGTGCAGTTGCGGACAAAGCAACTATGTCGGAGAAATCGGAAGATTACTCCGAACGCGAATGGCTGAGCACGCAGCAGCAGTGGGGAGGGACAATGTCGACTCCCAAGTCGCGGCTTATTCGACAGGACCCAAACAGAAACTTAAGTTTGACCAAGCACAAGTGCTTGCTAGAGGCGACAACCGCGTGAGCCCCGAACTGTTCAACTCATGGATTTCCGGTCCTCAATCAATCAACAAGCACAACGACCCCCCTCTCCCTATTCGGCGCTGAAACCTTGCTTAGGCAAACTAGCTAGCCACGAGGAGAGCGTGCGGATAACCAGTCTCTGATGTCAATGTCATCGAGCCAAATTGTCCAGGAATCCACACGGATGACGAAATCCGACAGCCAACAACTCGACAGCGTGCGATGAGCGTAGGAGCCAGTATTCGTGACCAGCATACAAACACGTAGCAACTGCATACTTTAACACCTGGCCAGTCGAGTCTTAATGCGCTCGGGAACTGCTAACTGTAATAGGCATGCAGCGGCCTAGCAAACACATTCTATAACTACTGCAACACCTGAGCAGTCCACTACTCTTACCTGGCTGTCTCTGATGACGGATTTGAGCACGAATCCGAAACGTCAGGCTAATAGAAGCGTTTTTTCCCAGCGATCGAGTCTCCTTCTTCGAGATATCAAAACCTTCATGACAGATTTTCATTGCTGCAGGTGTCACTATACAACCCCGAATGTTAGAAGACACAACTTCCATACGGTGCTACCCGAAACAGCTTTTTTAAGGAGTCTTGGCGTCGAAAAGTCTAAAACCCGATGGCATGGGTTTTATAGGCTCATGCAACACTCAGCCGAAAAAGTATATGGCCTCCTTGTGGACACCGCTAGCATGCAGATATTAGACGGTTCTCAATCCTACCAACCCACACTCCTCCTCATGGTCCCGAAGGTCAGTTTGAGGAGAGAACAAAAGGCAAAATTGGCGTTTATCATATATATGATGTTTACTTTAATTAATTCAGTAGACGATGCATGTACAATATTTTACAAGGAGGGGCGTCACTCCTGTGTAGGAGGCCGACGCCGTTGCCTTTTGCGCATTTTAGCCCTCAGACCCAGTCCGCCAACGGCTGCATGGACAAGTGGCGTGCGGGAAACAACAGGAGCTTCCGATGTGGCGTTCTTTTCTCGGAGAGAAGAAATAAGGTTCCGGAGGACCTCACGTGCGGAGGGGGGCCTTAGGCCGAGGATGGACTGTTGTAGAGCCCAGGGGTCTATGGCCTGTAGGAGAGGGTAGAGCAAGCCAGAGTTGAGCATGTTGCGGATCCTTGGGCTTAGGGTACCACGCTCCCTAAAATCTTCCAACGACTTGCCCTCCGCAGTTGCAGTCTGCGGGGGAACTGCCTTCCACTTGCGCTTCTGACCACTGCCCACGAGAGGTTCTCCTACTGTGAAGGTGGCAATTCGAACGACTATTGTGTCTAGTAGACCCTTCAGGCATCGTGACAGTTCCGGTCGCGTGGTCGGCTCTTCCGCTCGGAGGGAGGCCCATGTACGGCTGACAGCGGCTATGCATGGACAGAGTGCCGACTCAATCACGCTCAGTTCCTCGGCACTGGAAGCTACGAGAGAGAGAGAGAGAGTGAACAAAAGGGGTTGAGTGAGCCATTTGTACGACCTACATTGACAGAGTAAGAAGGAAAAGATGGATCGTAAAGGCATTGTAGGCGATAATGACTTTAATTTTTGATGGATGGAAGGCGGTGCTGCGACCGTGATGGCAGTCTAGGTGGGCGTTGCACCGGTAGTCGGATAAGAAATTTCTCGTGTCCGATTCGACCGACATTAAGGAACCACAGCCCTCCTGAACTTCAAAAGCCAGTTGTTGCTGTTGTTGTTGTTGTTGTTGTGGTGGTGGTGGTGGTGGTGGTGGCGGCGGCGGCGGCGGCGTCAGTGTTAGATATTCAAATAATAAAGGCAAGGATCGATAGGCAACAAAAGTGCGAGTCTACAAACCTGATTGCAACCGGTCGAAACAGCCACTTAGCCAGTCCGTACGTTGGGGTACCTTTGAGCGACACGATGGGTCGGAGAGGAACGCCGTGTTTGTGCACCTTAGGGAGGCCATAGAATCGAGCCAAAGCCGTATCTTGGGGCCTCGCCATGCGTCTGTCGGACGGTGTTATTGCACCCGAGTTCTCCAAGGCCAACAACGTAGCATTAATTTCGCGTATCAGAGCTTTTACAGGGTTCGTTGCACATGAGAGATAGAACTGTCGGTCTTCTAGTAAACCTTTGGCTTTTTGAAGGTAGTCTGTCCTGTCCAGTACAACCGTGGAGCGTCCTTTGTCCGCTAGCACGATAACTAGGTCTTTGCCGGCCTTGAGTTCTCTAAGCACATCACGTTCGACCTCGACCTGTGGGCCATCTGTGGGCACGTGTAGCTACCTGGATGTTAATCGTCGACTGCCCGTGAACTACTGCGTATCCATGAATGTTAGCCCTCATTGTGAATAAGGTACTGCGACCAAGGATAGACGCGATATGTTTGTAGTCGCAACGTGGTGTAAAACAACAGAAATTACAGGGCGTCACCATTAAGGAAGTTTATTAGGTGTAGGCTGAGTGAGTTGTGAGCCGTGTATGGGAGCGAACAGAAAATGCATGCGATTTGACCTCCTGAGGGCGCGTGCCAATGTCCCCTTCTAGAAGGAGATTGGTCCTGTAGTCGATGCCCTGGCGCTTACGATTAGCCTGTCAGTTCAGCTGTGTTGGCAGACTTTTGCATCCCGAGCTTCTATCCCATGCATCAAAACTAGTGGTGTTAGTAGTAGTAGTAGTAGTAGTGGTGGTGGTGGTGGTGGTGGTGGTGGTGGTGGTGGTGGTGGTGGTGGTGGTGGTGGTGTCAGTGTTAGATATTTAAATAATAAAGGAAAGCATCGACAGGCAACAAAAGTGTGAGTCTACAAACCTGATTGCAACCGGTCGAAGATTGCGTTAATCACATCGATGAGCATCTGTAAGTACCAGTGCGGTGAGGCAAGAACGGCGGAACGGAAAATATGTAGATAATTGGTCAGTAACTGAGTTTCCAAGATGATGGCTTTGCTCAAGTCCTTTAACTCCATATCCTACAATTGCAGATGAAAAGAACACTATGGACCGAGGAAAGTAAAGGTCGGCAAGCATTTGACCTTCAGTCAACTACCGCTTCACATAGTAAGAATAGTGGATTTTGGCACTTGCGAAACTACCTATTCGCACATTGTACTTATGCTAGCTAGAAAGACGTGACATTTGTCGATTGGCCAATTCTCAAACTGAGTCATTTTATTCGAAGTACTCTTTCTCCCACTACCCGACACACCCCCGGAATATCACGCAAGAAGTCAGTTTAGAAAGTTATACAATAGTTCAGAGCGTAAGATGTAGGACGACAGCGTTTGACAGTGTGCAATCAGCGACAACGGTAGCCTTAATTGCGCCATTCGGAAAGTCGAGTCGTTGTCAACGTGAGAGAAGATATGAGTTCCAGGAAGCAACTGAGAGGAAGACAGGATCGATGAAAGAAGAGTTTTGCACGCCCGACGTTATGGACTTGCAGTGCGTGACCTACCTCATGAAATCCGATAACGGAAACTAATGCGAGGATTTCTGGACGTCTTCAACGTTGCGCATTTTGTTCGCTCATCCACAGCCTTCAATGAAATGTTCTTTACTTGTGCAGAAATTGTCTTTACGTAATTATATCAAGTAAAATATCAGTAAATTTTGGCGAAACTGGACGTTGGAATATATTTGTGCAGTTTCCTATGCTAATACATGCCCTAGACTCCGGTTACGCATCTGAGCGACTTTTTCATTGAAAGGATAGTAATTTACCTGCGAGCGTTTTAATAAACAGATTTAGCAAAACTTGAAAATTTATTTTATGTCCGATGTTAACCGTCTTAATCAACCTGCTAACACAAAGGTTATTTTAAGAAGACCAGAAATTTTGTCAATTTCTAAATGTCAAATTAGCAGATCTGTGCGATTTGGTGCCCTAACGTGCAGTAATAACGCAAATAGGAATTCCTTCGATTGAATGGGTTGAAATTGTTTTACCGTTCGGAAAATTCTGCCTGATGTCACATAAATGACCACCACCGAGTGGTCATTTCCTGTTTTGAACATATGAAACGCTATTTATCGTGCAGTTTAGTTTCTGCACATACCTTATTCAGAAACAGAAAGAGCCAAACATTAATAGTTTCAGCAAAATATCAGTATTTATATGGGCGCTCTGCCGTGCATTCATAATCGAAGAACGGAGTCTAAAAGCGACAAAAAACAGTGGAAATGGCCTCAATGTAGAGAGGAAGGCATGCTCTTACGTTCACGGTAGAAAAAAACAGTATTGTTTAGAAACGTGAGAGAAACGGCCGAAAGTGTCAAATGTCTACTTGGCTTCACCGTGCAAAAATGCAAAGTACACAGAGATCCGTCAACGGAGTGCAGTAATAAAGCACCTCTTAAAGAGGTAACTTATTAAGGAGAGTTTTCTTATTGATCGAAGGCACATTCGTTGCTGACTCTCGTTGTCAACAGGCATTTTTCTCGAAAATGAAGTAAGATGCTTGAATAAGTCTTCACGGCAAACGACCGTCTTCATGAAAAGAAGAGCCCGAACACTCAATAATTCGGTAAATACCTTCAAGAATAATCTTATTTTAAAGTTCTCAAGAGACAGGTAATTCAGAATCTGTCTTTATGGACGATCGAGTGAAAATACTGAAAATCATGAAGTATTCAGCAACATTTCGAGGCCGGTCTGAAAGTCAACGTAATCCAAAACGAAGGGAAAGTATAAATTAATTTAACGGAAGAAAAGTTCTCTCTATAAACACAAAATGGTATGCTTACGATCGCGCCTGTCAGTTTTATTTAGATTTATTAGGCACCCACCGGCCTCATAGCATATCATCTTATGAAAACTTGTGTTTATACGTCCCCGTCGGTGAAATCAAGAAAAATCCAGTTTCTCTTGTTGAATTCCATCTCATTTAATCCAGAAGAGTCAAGCATAACACGAAACCCCGGAAAACTCAAAGGAGTCAAGGATAACACAAATCCTCAGAAACCTGTTTTGGAATCCACACTCAGAATGTAGGCTGTTGACAAACCGTCATATATGAAATCACATTAATTATTAAACGATATTTGGATGCAAACTTCACTGAAACACTATTATTAGACGTTATTTTATTTCTACTTTCATATTTACCATGTGTTTGGTGTGAGAATACATTTTACACGTCTAAAAACGAAGTTTACTAAATTAGAGCCATTTCTGACGCTTTCGGCATATTGCGCTTTTCTAAACGGCATTTCTAAACAACGCAGCACTGCCTTCAATATTTCTTCTACGTTTTTAATTCTTTTAAACTTGTACTCAATTAACTTAGACATTGGACTCATGAAATGGTGTCGGTTTGCGAGTGATTGGCAATCATTCGTAAATGTCAACACATTTCACTAACTGTACACTCGAGTCTATCAGCAGAGACAGCAGTTGCTGCAGACGTGTGGCAGCACGGCAACTGCATGTTATAAATATTGCGACCAATTGGTTCATCAGTCCTGCGGACCGAAGAGCATCGCACCGGCAAGCCTATTTAGTTGCTCACCCCGATGCCGTCACTAATAGGCGTTGGGTTCCGTCGAGATGACATCCCGAACAACTTCGTCCTCACGTCAGCGCAAAATATGGCTGAATCATATCTCAGTCAGTAGGTAATGGGGATGTATTCGAAGGGATGCTTTGGGGATCGGCGCGGTGGTGAGACGAACTCGGGGAATGAGGCGCAGGCATAAATGATCGAATTCGCCTATACGGGGAGTACCTTCGCAAAACGTGAAACATATCCCACATTTCAATAGAATGGTTGACATGGCGGATGTCCCTGTACTCGTATGCAGATCCTCAAGTGGATCTCCCGCAGACTCCAGGGCTTTCCACGAAGTGGGACAAGGGGCGCGCTGGCGTGGTTGATCCAAAGATCGACGTAATGATTGTCCGGTCTGCTTGGCAGAAGGTTCGATCCAAGTTGCGGAAAATGCCCACTGGCCTCACTGTCTACCATGACCGAGCAGATACCCGACAGCAAAACCTAAGACGCTCATTTTCGTCTTGAAGTTCGGCCCTGCGTTTACTTCCGCTGTCTGCAAATCTATCTGGGATTCTGTATACCACTGCAATATCCCTGCGTATTAAAGGCCGCAAATAGCGGATTACGACTTCGTGTGTCAGTGCGTGCTGAGGAACTTCGTCTATTTTGAAATTAAACAGAGTTTACGAAAAGACGCAGTCCTGACGGGGGTCAAATGATAATCCTCGCCATGCACACACTTTTGTCTCCATTCTACGATGGCGGGTTTCAAACTGACGACATAATTTCGGTAGCATGCTATCATACGGCACGATCGACTACAGGTGGTCCAGATGGCTGGCTATTGGAAACAAACGTGGTTTCGAACAGTTGAACACAGTTAAACTGGACCTTGGCAGAGGCGATTGGATCTAGCTGGCTCAGAAACCGGATGACATGATCAATCAGTGTTTACGTCGTGTCGTACGTGGATGCTATCACCACACCAGGGTCATTTCTGACAGCACATTTCAGAGACTGGCAAAGTCCACATTGTACTGCAAAGAAGCTCGCGTTATCAGGCTTTGCGTTGAAGATGCAAGAATAGTTTTCACGGTCAAAAATATGGAATGCAGTTCCTCCTAAGCTAACCCATCTGCACCGGGACGCAGACGCACTTGCTGCCGCCGATGTCGTAGCACAAATTAACTTGTTATTGAGGAATTTACGTGGTGAAGGTTCAGGGGTTCGACATAAACCTGGCACTTATATGGAGGTACAGCCCGCAAAGCGCCGGCAAGAACTAGTTTACTGGGGTTTTGTGACCGTCATGTCACAATGCCGTCAAAGGACTCAGCGGGATCTGACGAAGCAGGCGCTTTTTCAGACTCCAACCCTCCACACCCTGCTATCCTTACTGTTGCTGGTTCGCGGTTGCCTATTCGTCACACGAAAGTTTACATAAGTCACGATTAACCTCCGCTGAAGGTCGTCTCATCGTTCGCCACCCACGAAGACGCCGGGCACCTGGCAGCGAAGTTGACGAATAAACCCCGTCTTCTCGTTATTAAGTACCCCAGTTAGGTAAACCACGTTACATAGGTCAAGTGTCGGTCGAAAATCAACCTACATGGACGCGATATCGTATATGGAGTACAGTGAGTGCCCGATCTCATGAAATGTTGGTCGAAATTCTGAGATGCGTTTTCCGTTAGGAAGGATTTCTTAGGTGGGGTTGTAATCTTGATTGTCATGCGGCATGATCCTATAGTATTTCGAACTCTCTAGGATGTCGGCTTTTGAATGAACTTCTTTCCGACCTCCTGCAGCAACCACACTCGGTAAAGAATGAGTACTTACGTAGTATGCATTTTACACACTGATTTCCGGCGGTCTCATGAATTCAAATATAGTTTATAGAAAACATGCACAAAAATATGCTTCCTTTTACTCGTTTGGTGGAAAATCACATTAACTTCGCATTTTATACACGAAGAAAGGTTGTCCTTCGGTTTTAAAAGTTTCTAATTAAGAGATTTTTAAGACCGTGCGATGTGCATACATACAGCATCGAAAATGTCCGTTTACCAATGCTCCGCATGAAACGTACAACATAGTCCGCATCCACTGCAAAATCTTATGCACTGTATATGGTATATTCTTATAGAAATAGGGGAATATACAATTTTCCTTAAGCGCAAAGCATGCACCTTGTAGACTAAAATCGCTAGACGGAAATGCAACGACTGATCTCGCTCAGAATTATCCGGGAATTGAGAAACTTTTTCAAAACCTGAATATACACTTTCTTCAGGTATAAAGTGTGAAGACATATGATTTTATACCAAATAAGTAAAAAAGCCTATTTTGTGCATGTTTTCTATAAAATATATCTGAATTGAAGGCAGAGGCGGACGAAGAAGACTACCGAGCCGAACTAAGCTACTTGTGTGAATTATTTTCCCGAAATGGGTACCCAAAGGACTTTGTGCGCCGATGCATGAAACAGAAAGAGTCAGAGGAAAGGGAACAAAGAATTCCCAGTCAGGCGCCCAAGCCAAATACATGGCGAACCCTCCCTTACATCAAAAACGAGTCTGAACTCGTGGAAAGGCACCTAAAGAGGCACCAAATTCTGGTGGCACACAGACCAACGACTACACTACGTACTCAGATAGTACACCGTAAGGATAGGGTCGGCTATGTAGATAGAAAGGAAGTCATCTACAAGATCCCATGTGAGGCCTGTGATGTAGTTTATTGTGGTCAAACAGGAAAATCCGCCTTTACACGCATTCACGAACACCAACTTGCAGTAAAGAGGCGAGACCACCTGTCTCAAGTAGCCATGCATACCCTGGACACAGGGCATACGTTTGCTTGGGATAGAACACGGATTGTCGGTGCCTGCCCCTTCAAGAAAGGCCGAGAGTTCCTTAAGGCCATGCACTCGAATGAATCGTGCATCAATCGTCATATCGAGTTGGACGCCGCGTACAAAAGTCTCAAGGAGAAATGGAAGAGGCGAGAGCCAATCGGGACGGATTGACGCAAATAGCGGCCGCTCACGGGCGCAAACGCGAACGATTATGGATTTTTTTGCGTGCACTGCCAGATGTTAACTGTTGCCGGCACATTTACTCTCAGTCTGCGTCTGACGACGACCTGGGGAACCAGCGTCAAAAATTCACGCAATAAAGTGCCTTTTCCCAAAGAACGCCTCTGCCTTCAACTTATATTTCTTGGGATGCCTACCTTCCAATATATCTGAATTTATAAAACCATCGAAAACCAATGTGTGAAATGCATACTATGTAAGTAGTCATTATTTACCGAGTGTGGTCTCTGCAGGCCGGAAAGAAATGCATTCAAATACTATAGGATCATGCCGCATGATAATCAATATTACAACCCTACCAGAGAAATCTTTCCTAATAGAAAAAGCATTTGAGAATTCAGGCCAACATTTCATGAGATCGGTCACGCATTGTATATGTGGGGGTTGTCGTCCACCCCGTATGAGTACTAAAACTGTATGTCGTTGGTTGCTCGAAGTTCGTAATAAGTGCGAAGGCATAAGGAAAAGACTGGGTTATTGGCAGTTAACCAGAGATTCGCGTAGTTCTAGGAGTTGACTTAGGGAAAACTGAAAAACCCTTATGACTGTTATCATTCCGTTACGAAGAAGACAATGCCAAAAGGTCATCGGTGACCGGAATAAAAACCCCTCTCGAACCTGAGAAAAAAGTAGGGGAAGGGAGGGGGGTAATAGTCACTAGCAACACCAATGGGTTCTGTGAGGGGTCAGCTACGCAGCTTTTGGGAGCACTCGATCTTGCTTCCAAGCCGACGACAGTGGTGCATCTCTTAAACACTTCGACCTGCATAAGCCATTTGCATCAGAATTATCTCTCGAGATTCAGAGGATTATGCCGTGTATCAGTTGGAGCAATACACATCTTGCCAGCACTCCTAATGATTAAGGACTGTTACACGATTGTTGGGCAGGTCTATTAGACAATCTTGTTCAAATAAAATGGCGCTGTCCCAAAAAGACAGACTAAGCTTTTCTGGAGTCGCGAACAGACCCAGGAGCCAACAGACTACGGAGACGGATCTCACGAAATGTTTCCCGAAATCCAGTAAGAGGGTTTTTTGATCAAAACGGTCTACGTAGGTGAGGTCGTGGTAATGGCTATAGTGCGGCCTAATCCAAAGATATATTAGTCACGCCAAAACGCCGGGTCTTGAGTGCACTAGGTTTAGGCCGCCTGCAAAGTCGCACTCGATAAAAATGACCACTAAAGTACTATGCATTTTTCAGTTGAGTTCAGATTCCCGGATGAAATTAAACATACTTTATGGAAGACCAATGCAAATATATTCTTTCTTGTACTCTTTTAATGGTAGATTATGCTGTTTTCAAATTCCATGCTTCGGTTTTAAAAAGTTTCCCATTGGGATTTTTGAAACCATGAAATGGCCGTTCAAGTAGCAGTGTATGCATTCAACTATTAGTTTTCCCTTCGAAGTATACAACCTGATTCATTTTAGTTAAAAAAAAATTACGAAACCCGTGTAATATCTTGTTAACAGCATAGAAGAATTTTCGATTTCCCTTACATAGTGTATGCAGTTTGTAGTTCAAAAACACCAAACTCAAACGAAATGACAAGTTGGGCTCAAAACTAATCGGAAAATCACAAAATCTTTTAAAACAGCAAGATATCCCTTCTTCGGATGTAAAAATTTAAAGGCATAATTTACTACTAGATGACTAAAAGAAAGCTTATTCTTAACCATGTTTAACACAAAATATATTACAATTCATAATGGTATAAAGTCAGTGGAAAAAATCGCACTACTTAAGTAGCAATTTTTTGCCGAGTGCAGTTTTCGCTGCCAGAATCTAGGCGGGACTGAAGTACTTTGGCATTATGTTGCACTATAATCAATATTGCTTCCTACTCGAAAGTACAAGTCAGAATTCTAGCTAGGGTTTCATGGGATAGGTTACTCACTGAACTCCCATTTGGTTACAATAACATCATGAAAAAAGCAGTGTGTAAGGCAAGTGTCAAATAAAATTAGGTAAGTAATTACGTACAACAAGCATTGATTACTCGTATAAATTTGTCTGTAAATGCATGCTGTGTCAAAATTGTACAATAATCAGTACGCGGCACTGAAATGAACCAAGTAGTATCGAAACAAACGTTTATGCTTCGGTCAGAACTTAATGGAAAAAGTCATAAAGTAATGCTACTTAAATATAGGAGGCAGCATGCGTTGTAACGTACAACTTTCGGGGGATGGTACAGGGAAAGGGTGGGGATCTGCCGAAACCAATAAAACAAGCCGGATTATGATTAGCAACAAGGCGGAGAATGGACTCCAAACTTGCCAATGAACAGACATACGAACAGATAAAAGACAAATATACCGGGTCTCCTATGTCCGCGCTGATCACAGACGAGGTCATGTAAAGGTCGATGTGTGGCGCTTTCGAACACTAGCACTCATCATAATAATTCTGCTACGTGAACGACACCGGCGCTAACACGGTGGAAGTATCTATCACCACGGTTCCGATTAAAATTAGGGGTCAGTTACGGTCACAAAAGAACGTACCCTATGATTGACCGCATCTAATATTCCGCTTGGGAATAAAATAATCAACCGATATCTGCGGTCAAATTTAGGAACAACAGGCATAGGATAGCTCCGAAATTATGCCACGCCTTGTGTCAAAGGACAATGACTGCGTTGTCTCTGACCTGATAGTGTCCTCAGTCCACCGAATCGATGCCATGACACTTCTCCAAGTCATGCGTATTAAAGCTTAGTTACACTAGGGCGAACAGTCCGCAATCGTTTATCGTACAGTGTAGCCACTGTTCCACCAAATATACGGATTAGGGATCGCAAGTTGGTGAAACGGTCGCAAGACCACAGCGAAGAGAGGTGATTTCTTATCACAAAATGCCCGTAATTTAACAGATATTAGTTCTAATCTCGACATCGCTGTCCCAGAGATGATGGCTGGGGGAAAAGCACCATAATGGAAGTCCAGGAGCATGATACAAGTTTGGTTATATAGTTCCCAAATCGGCCGTTCGATGGACGTCCAGTCCGGGAGGTAGTGGTTGCAAAGATAGCTTGCTTGATGGCGGCTCATGTTAAGCAGTTCCATCATGGACTCTAGGTAGTAGGTTTGAAAAACATCAACTCTCCCTCAGTAGTTGCTTAGTCTTGATGCCGATGAGACTACTTGTCAGCTGGACGCAAGTCTGCTTATCCCGAGCCTAGCTTCCGTTGTCGAGTGCTCCATTATCCGCCATTCGTAGACACGCCAGGTCGCCGGAGTCTAGCGCAGATACCTGATATCAGATTGGCTGCTCGCCTGGTAAATCTACATCTACTTTCGTGAAGATAAAACCTGTCTTTGATTCCAATATAACAATGTGGTTTTAAGAGTGTAACGGTTAGAAAGCAGTAATAGAGGGGTACATCCGCGTATGTTATTTTACTAAACATAGTAATCTCGCTTTTCAGCCCCTTCTTTGCTACAGAATAATGAACTGGACACCAAAACACAAGTTTACATCCGTTGCAAATATAATTAAATTCAAGGAATATGAAAAGGGCAGAATGTGGTGGACGATGCAACAAATTCTTACCTGAAAACGAGGACCGACAAATCCGCAGAGGTAGAGGTATGATTGAGGTGTGTCCTTCAAAATCAATCTCTTATCGAGCACAAAACTCCAAATTTTGAGAAGACCGCAAAAGATTTGAGAGTATAGACGTGATCCGCCAACATTCTCTGTGTTATTGGCGGGTAGATTGAGGGCCGCCCGCAGAATCACAGATGGAGACGACATAACTGTTTCAGCCAAAATCTGTCGCCATTCTTCGTTTACAGAGCGATGATCAAGAAGCCGCTGCTCAATCAGCAGGATGTTCTCTGCAACCGACTCAAGAGTTCCGTTTAGATACACATCCCGAAGAATTTGTGGATTTGGTAATTGCGCACTTTTTGAAGCTTTAAGAGAATCTAATCTCGGTTGAAGGTCAGTTGCACACGCCGAATCAAGTTTGTTGTTTAGGGTATTTGTTCGACGCTGACCGTCTTTGGATGTACTCCTGGTGAGGTTGACCACGCCATCGGAGATGGAACAGGCATACAAAAGATCATGGAGGGTATATCGGTTTACACAAGTCGGCGGTGGCATGGACTTAATCTGGGATGTAAGAGTCACTCGCAAAAGAGTTGGCAAACTATTCGAGATAATCAGTTCGTCGTCAACCGGAATGTAAGCTTCCACAGGGTTTTTGGTAAGATCAAAGCAATCCTGGGACGCACACCATACGACACACGTACGATACGTAAACACGAGCATCCCTATGCACCATGAGTATAGGGAAAGGATATTAGTTCTTTTTTCTTTGAAAATTCTGGTCAATGACTGTATTACAGAGTTGACGTCTCCCACAGTCTTTAAAATGTCCATCGTTTCAAGGTCAGATCGGTCAGAATTACGTAAAACAGCGAACTCTATAATGCACAACAACAGCGTAAGAACGGCAACAGATTCAGGGCTTTCCAGACACCTATTAATTGCGTCGATAATCTGTGATTTCAAGGCACAACGCAACGATAGCGGCGTATTCGTAAATATTTTCTTAATTTCCGAGCAATATTTTAAGAAAACCGTAATTGGGGCGTGGGTTTCAATCTGCTCCTTTAACAGCCTGCGAACTTTAAGGATAATATACCCAGTCTTTTTGCGATCCTGGAATGGGACCAAAGCCAAGAATTTGGCTAATGGGTCAGAGTCGGGACACATGGTAGCTCATATGCTTCGCAAAAATATCGGCTAATTAAAACAGCTGTTCAGTTGTTGAAGTTCAATGATAATCTGACGACTTAGTGACATAGAGCTTGTTATAAGTTTTACTGAGGGTCTTAATTGATGTAGACATAATCCCAAAAATAAAGAATGCTATCAAAGACTGGTTGACTGAAAATGCGACAGGGACCAAAATAATGCCAGAAACAGGAGAGTGCATGTGGTTCATATTAATCTATAATTTCCAGCTATTTTGACCCACGACCATTATTTGATTTGTCGGGCAAAAAACTGTATATTCATTTCGATGATACTGCGTTCTTACAAAGCCGATATTAGGGGTAAAATGGAAGCAAACACTTTCTCTCGTGGGTAAAGACTTTGGCGGCCGAGCAGGCTGTCACTAACTTTAATGAAATACAAGAACTAAAAGCAATCCTAACCGAGATTCTGCAAGCAATGCACGTTAACGCCATTTCTGCCAGACACACAGTGAAAATTCAAAATATGCCACTGCAGTTAAGTTCTGAAACAGACCTCTTGTAGGTGAGGGTAAGTTCCTGGATTTGTCTGAATACCTCTTACGGCTTCTAGGCTAAACAGCTGTCCGTTATAGGAGGACGGACGGAACGTCAATTCATCAGAAATCTTCTTACTACTTTGCTCCTTTCCCATCTCCCTCAGGTTCCGGTGGGGAGGATCGACAGGTAAAAGGTCTTTCTCCAGTTGTCCCCTCTATCCTATTCTCTCCGGTAGGTAAAATTTTTTGACGTCCACAGACGCTATTAGGTAAGGACCTAGTTACGGAAAGTTCACAGGTGAGGAACTCCGTAAATGCGCTATTACCTGTTTCTACGGAGCCAGAGACAAACGCAGCGGAAGATCCAAGCGTCGGGAAGGCGCTGAGGTCAGTCAGTCAGTCAGGGTATTTGAGGGAAATAGGCTTACGCATTTGAACTCCCTATTTGTACATAAAAATTCCAATAATTTGATTTATCCACTCAAAGACATTTGGAACATTCGTTCGGCCGCATTTAGAGTACGGCATACAAGCCTGGAGGCCGTGGGCGGTTGAGGACCAAAACTGCCTCGAAAGAGTCCAGAGGAGAGCCACGAAGATGGTCAGGGGTCAAAGCTCCTTTTCTTATGCAACCCGCCTAGTAAATCTGAACCTCTTTCCTTTGAGTTACAGGCAACTTCGCGGGGATCTCTTGCAAGCCTTCCGCATTGTAAAGGATTTGGATTACAGCCTGGCCTTCGAGGACTTTTTTGAATTTGCTACCACTACCAACCTACGAGGTCACCCGTTCAAACTGCGCACCCAGCAGGCAAGGCTGGATGTGCGGAAGTTCTCCTTGTCTGTTAGGGTGGTCAAGCCATGGAATGCCCTTCCCGCAGATGTTGTGATGTCATCATCTATGCAAAGTTTTTAAAAGAATTTGGACATATTTATGTTCCGAAATGACCAAGAGCGATGAGAAGTAGAGCTCACCCTCCGTAACTCGTTCTCATTTTGTCCTATCACTATGGGCGTGTTTGAACTATTTCAGCCCAGAACATTTATCCGTATACCACACATTTTTGCGTTGCAAATAGGGTACTCAAAGGCTTACGCCTATTTCCCTCAGTAAACTGAACTGAACTGAAAAATGCAGCAGATTCGAGAAGCAGACGGCACAGATGCATGCCTCGGTCTGTCGCCGACAAAAGACACGGTAATTTTTTTTTGAACTTGCCATGACTAGGCCTTATTCAACAACCTTCGGGAACATATTATTACGGTTTTTAGGCTACTTAAATAGCATGAAAAACCTTGTATGTCAATTATACAGAAAATACATTCCTCGTACGCAAAAAAGTTACCGAATAAGCTGCCTAATAAACGTTATTAATCTTGTAATTTTCTAATCTCTAAGTTGTATAAAAAATCTCTTTTAACTTATAAACCCATTTTCTTCTTTGTTTACTGGGACCCGCCACAGTAACTTAAAGAGAATATTAACTGAGGACTGAAGGACTCTATCGTGTAAGAATTTTCCAATCCGGTACTGTCATTTAATTCACTAGTAGACAACTTATCCTGCTAATTCCCATTAGCCGACATACTTTGTGATATTCGTGGCTGCGTGGTCAAGCAACTGCTTGTATAATTAATTGGGCGATATGGGAAAATCCTACGCTGCGCGTAATAGGGGTCGATTGGCTATAATCATTAGTGGCACGGTAGCTCATGTATGTCCGCCGACGGTTGTGATACCGAGAAAGGGGAAGTGGGAAGGCGTTAAAAAGCGGGCACCCCTGCGCATTTTTTGGGAGATTGGGCCAACTGGGCCACATCATCTAGTCAGTTCAACCCAGCCCAACCATAGCCCCACCCAGCCCAAATGGGCCGGATTGGGTTGGTGCTGGCAGGGTACTTAAAGAAGCACTACTTTAATGCGACTTTGCAAATTCACGCTAACCGAGAGCGGTGCATGACTCTGACTCGCGGAAAATTGGGCTTGACTAAAGGGTATGCTTTCCTGACAATGCCTTAAAAGTGGCATTAAATAAAATTATTATTATTATTATTATTATTATTATTATTATTATCATTATCATCAAATGCTCTGTGACCGATAAAGATCAGGACAACTTTCAGGTTTTCCATTCCAATTTTATAAGTTTCTGTACTCATAGACATTTTATATTTATGGTTTTAGTACACACGTAGCTTTCATTATTTTCCATCATTCCTTATCACTCTTGGTCGCATATTAATCGTTGAAAGAATTTCGTCCTTTCAGTCCGTCTCTTCACGGCCCATCTTTTAAAGATCGGTGAAATTTCTCATTTTCTTTAAATTTCCTTGTCCCTTGCACAACCAGTCTTCCGCATTCTAGATGAAGCTTTCCCTTTTTATCAATAGATCACGTGTACTTACCATTGGATTCGTCGTTTTACCATCAAATGGAAATATACTGTATTAAAATTGCTCATCGTACTCAGAATCAATTCTGTTAAGGCGTACCCATACATTTAAGAATTTTTTTAATTAAAAATTCCAGAAAATCATTGTATCTTCCACGATAAAGGCTCTGTGTTGATTATCGCTATTGTTGACTTATAAACTGCCAAGAGTACTGTAATGTCATGGACTTCGCCCTGCACAGCGCCATCGTTCCGTGCCAATTTCGGTCATAACTTCATTTGGTTGTCCATAAAATTGTCAGTTGTTAGTTTTCTAGAAAAAAATAGCGATTTAACATAAACTCGATAAGGGACATTTCTGCTGTTTAGTCTACCGAATCTAGCAATTTGTCTGAATTTTTCGCCATATATAGTCTTGATCATAGATTCCCTAAGAAGATAATTCTGTTTAAAGTACTTATTTTTGAACCCTGCAGATACAATTATTGGAAGTATATTATTCCTGAAAATTGTATCTAAATTTTCAGCGCCTACTGATTCCGCAACTCATAGCTAAACTGTAACATAGATAATCTCATGTATTTCTTTTTTCAATATGAGACTTCTGACAACTGTTCATCGAAATTTGAATAACATTCAGATTCAGATTTCCAGTGTGAATCCTACCGTATATATGGAAAAAAGAGACCTTGACAGACTCGAAAATTTCAAAAATTTTATGTTCCAGCGTGAGTCAACTTCTTCCACTCCTGTTGAACTTTTTGAAAAAAACATCGTCACATACTTCTCAACAATGTGCGCAACTCGCGCTTTCTATCCACTTTATTGTTATTGATGTCAATGACAGAAAGAACGACGCCTTGGCTATATTTGGAGGAATTTTCCCAGAAATAGATAACCTCTTTATTTCCATTGTCCCTGACTCAAGTGGAACATGTCGCTTTTAAACATCTCCAAAAGCCGACAATCGCTCAGAATATGCTCGCAGATTCACAGGATGCTTGGTCTTAGCATCAGCGATTGACAAACCTCATAGCCTACGTCGGTATTCAAGGCACAGAATAGTGACTTGGTTTCAAAACTGGATCGAATTTATCTCGTCTCTCTGTCGAGCTAATCACACCTGACTTAGCTGTGCACTTGAAAGTCTTTACACGTTCCCAACCCAAATTCACCAATTCGAATAGGGAGTATAGTTGAGAAACGTCCTAAGACACATGCAACCAATGTGGTTATGACCACATTGCCTAACCCAGTCATGACCCCCTCTTATGATGTGGCCATATGTTGGCAGGGTAGTAATATTCCAAATCCGACAGTTTGCCATAGCCACAATAAATAAATTCAGTCATATTGCAAACAGTTTTTAAACTTGCTTAGTCTTTTTTTGATACAAATCTCCCCTGTATTATGCCAATTGTTCTCAATATTATATTTTTATACCTACTATTTTTTGACCCAGTGAAATACCA